AGTGGTAACCAGTTCAGAGATTTAAGAATAGGAGTGATGGGCTCGGTTCTCTTGGTTTTTGTCAAGACTCTAGCAGCGGCATTCTGAAGAAGCTGAATTTAATTCAAAGCTTTTTTGGAAAGACCAGACAAAGACCATTGCAGTTGTCCATCCTGTTGGGGATGAACACATGAATGAGTTTCTCCGGGTCTTGTCTAGTCATGAGCCGTCTGAGATGATGAAGATGGTAAAACGCTGATCTTAATGTGACCAGCGAAGTTCAGGTCTGAATTAGTTAGGACACAAAGATTTTTAACCTGGTTCTTTGTCTTCATTCCTCTGGAGCCAAGCTGAGCAATAACCTCCATCCTATCCTTATTTCCAACGACACTAACTTCAGTCTTGTCTTTGTTTAAGTGGAGGAAGTTTGACTGTTGGGCTTTTGTTTACATTAGTTAGGTAATTTTATCTGGGCCAGAAATGTGTACATAAAAATTCTATTTGAGTCACGTATTAAACTCCTAAAAGACATATTATGTTTCCCAGGAGCTCACCACTTGTGGGAGGAGCTAAATGGGTCTGGTGCTTTGAGAGATGGGCAGTGGCCTTTAAGGCCTTTGCGGTCTGATCCTCGTCGACAAAAGCTTGAAGCCTAGTCCACACGTAGCCGGGTTTTTTGAAAAACGAATATCCGCCCTGTCACGCTATGGAGGATGGTTCGGACACAAAATGCAGATATGCAGGATGACACGAGGCAGGAGTAGATAAAGAAAAATCCTTTTATTTTAGGATGAACCCAAAACGAACATAAAAACCAAAAGGGGCAGGAAGCCAAAGTCCAAAAGTGCAGGGGATGATCAGGAGACCAAAAACACTAAAGGAACGAGCAGGACTGACAGAATAAGTCACACTGACAGCAACAATGGACTGACAAGAACAATGAGACAAGGAGAGGCTTTATTCACTGGGGCTGGAGTGATAGGAGACGAGGAGCAGGTGTGTGGGGAACTGGCACAGGTGAAATCACTAATGAGGAGAGGAGCAGAGCAGGACACCAGACCTAACTGGGAAGGACACACACACACACACACACACACACACACACACACACACACACACACACACACACCGAGCTGGGGACAAAAAGGCTGGAGCTACAAGACACATAAATGAGACGCAGACAAAGGACACATGAGGGCGCATATGAGACCCAAAATGGGTACCTAGAGGAAGGAGAACACATGAGAGAAGGCACAGATGCAGACCATGACACGCCCCTCCAAAAACTTGCATCCACACCACGTTGTTTAAAAAAAAACTCTGTCCACACGTACCCGGATAAATACGTTGTTAAGGACATGCCAGACCTGTAGGCGGCAGTACTCGGAAAAGCCAGGTGCCGGGCAATAGCCGTTCTTAACCTCGTCCTTCGTCTGTGGTCTTCCGCAAGGAGCAGTAATTCCGCTTGCAAAAGCAAACAAGCAAAAAGCGCTTGGACAATTGATAAAGCGAGCGCAGCTCTGAGGGCATCCATGATGTCGGCTAGTGTAAACACAGGTCACACACGTGATGTCAGCATTTTTTGTCGCGGAATGTGACGTTGCGGACCTTAAAACTCCGGTTTTGTCTGTCCACACGCAGACACCCAAAACAGAGAAAACGCAGATCTTCACTTTGGCCGGAGTTTTTAAAAAGATCCGTTTTCGTGTGAAAAAACTCCGTTTTCGTGTGGATGACAGGCCAAAACGTAGAAAAATATCTACGTTTTGGCAGATCCCTGTGGCCAGGGCCTGAGTCTACGTGGAATGTCACCTCTGGTGAGGAAAGAGGCTGAGCTGGTAGGGCAAAAGGTTCCAGCTAGAATTGGTCCGACTTACCTCGAGGCATGGGTCTGGTTCCTGAACCAGTTTCCTTGAGGGTGGTTTGACTATTCTTCTAGCGTAACTATTGCAAAACAGATTTGATTTGTAGAAATCAAAACTGCTGGGTACCAAGAAGGGATATGTCCCATTGCCCTCACTCATTCATACAGACCTGGCCTCACTCCAGGTCATAATAGTAGACCATACCACCGCAGCAGCTGAGGGTCAAGACTTTTGCTGATGCCTTGGCAATTATGTCTGCTAGCTTGGAAAGGGCAACAAAGAGAAAACGGATTCATCAATCACTGTTATGTTTATTGTTTTGGTCACTGATGAAAAATCGTAAAAGGTCCTCAGATGCATGAGGAGAACCTGCACCCTCTGCAGAATGGTCTAAAGGTCCAAGTTGCTCTTCACTTCTATCAGTCTCTTAAAAACACCTGTGACTATCTTTCTGCAAAGCAAAAATCCTACCAACTCCACCATCACTATGTTGTTTGTTTCAACTGATCTTCCAGAATAACTGGACTCAACCAATTTAGCAAGTTGTTGGTTTAAACCCCCATTCAAAACGTAATCAGATAGATGTTTTAAGCTAAAATATAGTCAAAGATCACTTTGATCAAAGAAAGTTTATTATTCTTTCACCCTGCAATGAATTGGAGATGGTGTTGCATGAACAGTAAATGAAGTACTTGTCGTCAGTTACTGACATGTTAGTAAAATGTATTAGTTAAACACATTTTATCTACTGGTGTGAGAGGGGCAGATTATATATAAGATTTTCTTCTATCTGCTCCTTTTCATTTAGTTGATTGTAAGGTGTATTTGTTTTTTCAATTTTTAAAGAATGAAATAAAAGACTTAAAATAAGTTGATCATATTAGGCTGAGATGGTGATGTAGAAATCAGGACTAAGTTTTTAAACTACACAAAAATAAACAAGTAAATAAAGCAAAATGGCTTTATTTGTATTTTTGCATTCATGATTGTTTTATTATTCATTTTTGGTATAGTTCTACTAAATGTATAATATTTTGAAGACCAGAAGAGACCCAGCTGGCTAACCACTTCTTTGGGTGGTTTATTTACTGACACAGTTTTAAAGAAACACTTTTCTGATTAAATGATTCAGGTACAGGAAGAAAGACAAACACATTTTTTATTTTCATTGATTTGATTTATTTCTTTAGATTTTTTCCCAAAAGTTAAAAAATAGATCATCCCTTTCATATCGTCTGTGGAAGGGCTCCATTAACGAATGTTTCAGTGAGAGAAAAAGAACAAATCAAACTAAATCAGGAGAAATCAGGTTATTCCTTTAGTTTCAGGTCATCCGTTGTCATCCGTATTCGTTTATGATAAACAAGGACATCTGAAGCGAACCTTGTAGTTGAAGCACACACCAGACACCTGATCCTTGTTGAGGCAAATGAAACCTTTTACGGTATTGTAGCTGAAACATAACAGAGTTAAGTTAGTAATAGCTTTCAAAAACATTTGATTAAGTGAAATCTGTAAACGAACGTGCTGAATATTCAAGCGAGACTCACGCATAGAATCTCTGCCCTGTGTTTTCAGCTGGGACGTTTCCATCAACAGTCACAGCCTGAATATCCAGAGGTTGGATACAAATTCGGTCAGGATTTTCTGCCCTCAGGTCCCTCAGATCATCCAAGTCACCGACACCTGGGACGTACCGGCTGAACCAGTTGGTCCAGCAAAGACGGGGAAGCCCGACTGGATTTGATGAAAAAAAGAAAGTCAATTTAATGACAAACAAATCGTGATGCATGTTTATGAGGTTCCTTAAAATGTTCACATGAAGTTGTCTTACTTCCTTTACTTGGTCTCACATTAGCTGAAGAACAAAAGCAGATTTATTTATGTTTAAAACTATTTCTGCTAAGAAACATTTGATTAATTTTCTAAACTGAAAGTATCTGAAGATGAACTCACCAAGCAGCAAAATGGAAACAGTCAGAAGAACCGTCTATAAAACAACATATAGTTTTTAATTACAATTTCTAAAATTAAGGTGTTCAAAGTCTAAATGTATCTTTAATTTTTTTAGTTTTGACATTTTACCAGCTTGGTCATGATTGCAGAAATCAGAAGTCTGTTTTCACAGCTGCAAACCAGTAGAAAGACATTTAAAACGCATCTTTTTGTTTTGTTACACTTTATATTTTTCTATAGAAGTTCTATTAGAAATCTTTTAAGTTCTCCTTTTTGCAGTGGTTAGAAAAAAGGTTTGTTTGCTTACCTGTAAAAACCAGAAGAAACCTAGAAGCCGACCAATCTGCTCCACATGTTGGTTGTGTTTACCGCAGCCTTTTATAGCAACACGTCTCTGCCTGTGGCACAAATATTTTACCCCCAAAAATGCCTGTGGTGGATGTTTAACATATGTTGTATTTTCATAGAAAAGCAAAAAGACCAGATACACAGGACAAGCTTCCCTGCACACACACACACAAGCACATTTCCAGTAACTACCGACCCACTTTTTTTGTTTGTTAATTATGCGCATTCCAATTGTGTGTGTGTGTGTGTGTGTGTGTGTCCTATAGAATATTTTCATGTGTGTGTGTTGTTTGTGGAAACAAAACAACAACAATTGCAAGTCAGTGGTAGAGTTGCGTTGCTATTATCCAATCCGAGGATAGATGTCCAAATGTTAGGAAACAAGACTCCAAAACCTGCCTTGAAAACTTGAAATGTATCACAAATAAACAGTTATCGCTCCTCTGGTCTACTCTCCGAAATGTTTTCTGTCCTAAATGCGCCCCTGAAGCACACACACCCAATATTTGTTTATCATGTGTATGCCAAATCATGTGTCTGTTTGTTTCAATGAATGCAAAAAAAGTGTATTTAAATTTTATGAGGTTTATTGAACTGTTTGTTTCTGAACATTGTGCAGGTGTGTGGCTGCCAAAAGCACAAGTTGAAAGACAAGAAAGTTTAGCTTTTCTGGACTGCTTTTATTTTTTTCCATAATATTTCCCTAAAGTTCACCAAAGTTGTAAAAAGAATATTAAAGAGATCACCAAACTTCCTCTGGGCCAAAGTTACAAATGATAGAAAAGTGTTTCTGTGACAGAAATAAGAATGAGTGAAACAAAATCTCAACGCAACGATGCATCCAGGTGGATCAAGGGCATGGGCACGTGAAGCGAACCTTGTAGTCCTTGCATCTCCCAAATTGCTGATCCTCGTTGCGACAAATGAAGCCAACTTCGGTATTGTAGCTGACAGATGAGAGGAAACTCAGTTAGAACATAAAGCTTAAAGTGTCACACAACCAAAATAAATGGAAGCAAGATTAATTATGATTTACTGAATATTTTAAAAAGGCTTTTAGTTTCTTGCTTATAACAGCAGCTGCTTTAACTAGTTAAGGGAAAACTGTTCAAGAACATTTAGTTAAAAAATCTGTAGAGTGGTCAAAGGTGACTCACGCCTTGAAGATGCGCCCCGTGTCTTCAGCTGGGATGTTTCCGATCACAGTAACGGCCTCTATGCGGGAAGGGTTGGGACAAATCTGTCCAGGGTATTCCCTCCTCAGGTGCCTCAGATCCTCATAGTCACCTTGTCCATCTGGATTGTCCCGATCGTACCAGTCGGTCTTGCATATAGGAGGAACGATGCCTGAATTTGTTTGGGGGTAAAATACAGTTCATAAAACAAATCTTCGATAAACATAATTTATTTTTGTTTAAATGTAGAAGTGTTGTTTATCTTACCTCCTTTACTTGGTTTCACATGAACTAAAACATAAAAAACCACATAACACCAGTTAGGTGATTTTTTATTGAGGGAAATGATTAGAGGATTATCAAAACTAAAAATATTTTATGATGAACTCACCAAGCAGCAAAGCTGCAACAACACTCAGAACCATCTATAAAACACAGAATACATGTTTAAAAAGTACAACTTCTAGAGTTCAAATGTCTACATTTCAAGTTTCTTTTTTTTTTATCCAAAACACCACAAATGAGATCTCACCAGCTTGGTCATGATTGCAAACAATCAGATAGTTTTCACAGCTGCAAAAGACAAAAGATGTTTAAAATATTCTTGGTTGTTTTATCCTTAATGTGTTTTGTAATAAAATTAAATCAAATGTTGATTTTTTTTGTAGATAGTTTGACGAACGTTTTGTTTTCTTACCTGCAAAAACCAGGAGGACCGTAGCAAGAGGACCTCTCTGCTCCACATGTTGGTTGTGTGTACCTCAGCCTTTTTATAGTAACGTTGCCAGTCTGACCTCTTAAACCAGAAAGTTGCCTTTTTTTTACCAGTAGCTTCTAATAGAAACACCCTGTAGCACAAACTAAAGGTTTTTACATGATAAGGGTTGGGGTTAGGGCTCCTACATTCCTCCGTGGTTATTTTGGGACCTTCTGTTCCACATTTATGGGTAAAAATGCAAAATGACCAGAAACACAGGACAACATTAGACAGCTGACAAAATAATTCTTAGCCAAAAGGCATCTTTTGCTAAACTTTATTGAAAAAAGATTTTAAATGAAAAAGGACCACGAGACTCCAACACGCTTGACAATACAGTGCATTATTCATCCACCGGTCCCTCTGACCACCACCAGCTGGCAAGGTGGGTTGTGTCTTGCCCAAGGACACAATAGCAGAGTTCTCTGTTTGGAGCCGGGATCGAACCTGCAACCTTCCTGAGCTACTGCTGCCCCAGTGGGGCAAAAAGGATTTGGTGGCCACTAATTGTGCTAGCTGTCATATGTAAAGAAATGAGAGAGGACAGTACTTTTCATCATAGATACACTTCCACTGTGAGACCAGACTCCTGGAAATCACAGCTCGCTCATTTCACTTCATCAGTAGCCTCAAGACAACGTAAAGGCACCGGCTTAGACTTTTTTCTGGAACATTTTTGCCACTTTGCTTGAAATACTCTTCACACATCATTTGGAAGCAACAAATTACAGTTTTTTTTTCAATCACTAACAAGCTCTCATCCGCGCATCAGATACTTTTTCTAAACTCTTAACACAGATTCACTCCTACAAAACACAATTGTCCAAATGGAAAATTTTCTTCTCAAAAACACAGTTTGATAGACATATACTAACTCTATCTTTCTCTGCACACACTACCTTTAACCAAACACTGGACCTCTGACTCAAAGTGATTTTTTTCTGTCAAAAAATAGAACTTGTTTACACTTAACAAGATACATTCAGTCAATCAAAGTACACCGGGTTTCAAACTACTGGCGATTGTTGACATTACAAAAACCGCATAGAGTTTTATGTTTCAGTTTTAGAGGTAAAACATGCAATCCACTGTTTTTACACGACATTTCTTGGTTTTGAACTGCATGTCTACATATAAAGTACACATTTCAAAGCATTCCAATAAAAAGCTAATCCTGTTTTTCCTTCACTGTTTATTTCAGGAGGTACAGCAGACATAATGTTTACAGTATGACAGAACAGAAAAAGTTCTACAGTATTGTTTGTAGTGAACAAAATATCATTGAAACAAACATGAGCATTCTAAAGAAGGCAGCTATAAAACGCACTAAATTACTGTAGCTAATCTCTGCGATCTTCGGGGTTAGGCCACAATTTTCATCAACATCGCGGCTCATATCATCCAGTGATGCACCTGGCATAAAATCGCCTGCTATGTCAGATCCAACCTTGGCGATCATCAACCGTGATGTCCCTGCAGCCAGCATCCATAACTTCCTGAAGGGACATGTGGTCATGTGGCTGATGGTCATAAACCTTCCACCTACACGCAGAAAGTAACTCATCTATGGGGTTGAGAAAAGGCTTTACACCATATCTGGACAAATAGTCATCGTAGCTCCATGACTCTCACTGTTCCTCTCAAATGGAACAATGTAGAGCTGCTTCACCCGCACTTTGGGCAATGTCCGTGTAATGGTTGTGAAGCTGTGAGTTTGATGAGAACCATGATTTTTTCTCAAGGAGACAGCTGGACAGGGAGGCCGAAGGGAAGATTTTTGTGGAGATAGAACATCAACGATGCAAGTAGAGAGTTGAGTCGTATTGCTGTTATCCAATCCGGGGCGAGAAGTCCAAATGTCAGGAAATAAGTCTCCACAACCTGCTGTCTGAAGCTCAGCAATGGTCCGAGAAATGGTGCACCAGTTTGTATTTTTCCCCCTGAGAACGACTTACAAGGCATTCCTACTAGAAGGGTTAGGGTTAGGTTGGGGTATCGCTCCAGGTTATCATCTCAGTTGGTTCTGTTTACAAAAACAAAACTTATCGCTGTGTTTATTTTCAATTTTAATAAGATAGCTAGCTGGAACTCGGCAGTAACTCTCCATGTGATCATGACACCTCCCTATGTTGGCGTGATATGCATTCACAAGTCCGGCAATGTGGTAATATCACTACCCAGCAGGGTAGCATGAATGCTACAAAATTCCTGCAACACCATGCTGCCACAGAAGCATACAACACGCTACATACAAAGTCCTTGATCTGTGGATTTGAGTCACATGAATTAGACTCAAGTCATTAAGTTGACAACTTTAGTTTTGAACTGAAACAAATGATCAAAGTCTTGGATTTGGACTTGTACCCAAGTAACTTGGGACTTTAGTTGACCCAATATTTAGTTTTAAACATCTATTACTTAGAAATGGCCCACTTTAGTTATTGAACAAGTCCCATGATAAAAAGCATCATCTCTTTGTAGGCTAGTATGTTTATGAGCTCTGCAGTGCAGCTGGTGACTCTCTATCATAATAAACTTTAATATTTTCCTTTTTATTTTCACATTTTATGTAAATATTGACTGCACCTTGAATAACCTTGCTTCATTATAACTTAGCATTTTTTTAATTTGTGAAAATTTTGGTTTCTAATTATTTCAGTGATTTGAAAATCTTGTCTTTGGAAGGATGCAAATAAATTGGAGGATTAATGTATAAACATTGCTCAAATCCTAACGCAAAGCCCTGCAGAGGATTTGTTTTCACAGTACTTCAGATATTCTAACCATATCTTTAATGTCATCATATCTATTCATACGTGTAGTCTAGTGCTTTATGTCTGCTTTAGGATGGTCAAAGTTGCAACAACATTAATAAAAACAATTATCGCTTATGTGAGCTAAGACCCATGTCTTTTTCAGTTCTAAATCTGACCCTGATGCACGCACACAAGCACTTTATTTACAAATCATGACCCAATTTATTTATTTCTTATGTGGAAACCCAATGTGTATGTGTGTGTGTGTATGCAAAAAGTGTATGTGAATTTTATTTAGTTTGTTGAATTGTTTTCTGAACATTGTTCAGGTGTGGCTGCTAAACTAATAAAAGGGTGTTGCAAAGACTAAAAGACAACATTGTTTTGCTTTATTTATTTATTTAGATCTTTATGCCCTAAAGTCCCCCAAAGTTGAAAAAATGAATATTCAAGAGATCAATATACTTCCTCTAGGCCCCAGTTATACATGACAGAAAAGTGTTTCCGTGACAGAATAAGTGAAACAAAAACTCTCAGGTTACTGGCAGATAGGGTTGCATTCAGGTGGGAAAAAACATGGGCATCTGAAGCGAACCTTGTAGTCCATGCATCGCCCAAATTGCTGATCCTCGTTGCGACAAATGAAGCCAACTTCGGTATTGTAGCTGACAGATAAGAGAGTAAACTCAGTTAGAACATAAAGTTTAAGGTGTCACACAACCAAAATAGATGGAAGCAAGCTTTATTATGATTTGCTGAATCTTTTAAAAAGGCTTTTAGTTTCTTGCTTATAACAGCAGCTGCTTTAACTAGTTAAGGGAAAACTGTTCAAGAACATTTAGTTAAAAAATCTGTAGAGTGGTCAAAGGTGACTCACGCCTGGAAGGTGTGCCCCGTGTCTTCAGCTGGGATGTTTCCAAACACAGTAACGGCCTGGATTCTGAACGGTTTGGGACAAATCTGTCCAGGGTATTCCTTCCTCAGGCGCTTCAGATCCTCATAGTCACCTTGTCCATTTGGATCGTCCCGATCGAACCAGTCAGTCCAGCACAGTGGGGGAGCGATGCCTGAATTTGTTTGGGGAAAAATACAGTTCATGTAGTACATAAAACAAATCTTCAATAAACATAATGTATTTTTGTTTAAATGTGGAAGTGCTGTTTATCTTACGTCCTTTACTTGGTTTCACATGAACTAAAACATTAAAAACCACAGAACACCAGTTAGGTGATTTTTTTATTGAGGGAAATGATTGGAGGATTATAAAAACTAAAAATATATTATGATGAACTCACCAAGCAGCAAAGCTGCAACAACACTCAGAACCATCTATAAAACACAGAATACATGTTTAAAAAGTACAACTTCTAGAGTTCAAATGTCTACATTTCAAGTTTATTTTATTTTTTTATCCAAAACACCACAAATGAGATCTCACCAGCTTGGTCATGATTGCAAACAATCAGATAGTTTTCACAGCTGCAAAAGACAAAAGATGTTTAAAATGTTCTTGTTTGTTTTATCCTTAATGTGTTTTGTATTAAAATTAAATAAAATGTTGATTTTTTTTTGTAGATAGTTTGACGAACGATTTGTTGTCTTACCTGCAAAACCCAGGAGGACCGTAGCAAGAGGACCTCTCTACTCCACATGTTGGTTGTGTGTACCTCAGCCTTTTTATAGTAACGTTGCCAGTCTGACCTCTTAAACCAGTAAGTTGCCTTTTTTTTTACCAGTAGCTTTTAATAGAAACACCCTGTAGCACAAACTAAAGGTTTTTACATGATAAGGGTTGGGGTTAGGGCTCCTGCATTCCTCTGTGGTTATTTTGGGACTTTTTGTTCCACATTTATGGGTAAAAATGCAAAATGACCAGAAACACAGGACAACATTAGACAGCTCTGACAAATTAATTCTTAGCCAAAAGGCATCTTTTGCTAAACTTTATTGAAAAAATATTTTAAATGAAAAAGGACCACGAGACTCCAACACGCTTGACAATACAGTGCATTATTCATCCATTCACACACACAATGTAGCCACGGCTGCTCTGAGGTGCACTGACAGAGGCGAGGCCTGCCAGGTGTTGGAGCCACCGGTCCCTCTGACCACCACCAGCTGGCAAGATGGGTTGTGTCTTGCCCAAGGACACAATAGCATAATTCTCTGTTTGGAGCCGGGATCGAACCTGCAACCTTCCTGAGCAACTGCTTCCCCAGTGGGGCAAAAAAGGATTTGGTGGCCACTAATTGTGCTAGCTGTCATATGTAAAGAAATGAGAGAGGACAGTACTTTTCATCATTGATACACTTCCACTGTGAGAGCCAGACTCCTGGAAATCACAGCACGCTCATTTCACTTCATCAGTAGCCTCAAGACAACGTACACCGGCTTAGACTTTTTTCTGGAACATTTTTGCCACTTCGCTTGAAATACTCTTCACACATCATTTGGAAGCAACAAATTAAATGTTTTCTAAAACAGAAACTAATCATTTTAATCACCTCTGAAACACAAAATCCTGGAAAAACCAGATCCAGTCCGGCGCTGACCCACTATCAGGGGAATATAACTCCACTTCCCGAGGGCCCATGTCCAGAATGTTTTTGTTGTCCCTTTGCTTGATTTGAATAAGCAGCAAATTAGCAGCTTCAGCAGAGCTTGATGAGCTCCTGAACTGGTGCATCGACATGCTGGATACCTTCCCTCGAGGAAAGGAGCCGTCTACCCCTGTCCTATTATTGGATCATACCTAACCATCTAACTACTCCTATGAACATCTTTCACCCCGCTGCACCCTCGCTCACCCACGAAGCAAGTGGGAGGAGGTTTGGTCCAGTTTGTAGTTTGTTCTGGAAATTCTGACATTAGCAGCGCAGCGTGTCTTCTCCTGTGTGTATCGCAACTGGTGTACCACAGGGAGCATTAGGTAATTTATAAGTGCAGCAATCAGATTATGTTACTTCAGGTGACCGCCTGAAGAAACGGGTCAGACATTTGTTCTTTTGTCCAAGAAGAAAGATGGCGCCTTTAACATCATGAATTATAACCCAACACTACTCTTTACTATAATATGCACCCATAATGAAGTTTAAAGTGATATGAAACTACAGCCTAAAGGCTTTTAACAGTTATGTTGTCATCGGCAGACATTCCCATTTGGGGAACTTATTTCTTATTATTTGACCCAAACATAAGGGTGTGTGTGTGTGTGTGTGTGTGTGTGTGTGTGTGTGTGTGTGTGTGTGTGTGTGTGTGTGTGTGTGTGTGTGTGTGTGTGTGTGTGTGTGTGTGTGTGTGTGGTGAAACTTGTTTTGCATGTCTCTGCTTACTTTTTATCTGTGAAAATCCATGTAAACGTGTTGAAAACTTTCCATCAGGAGCTTTTGTGTTAAAGAATTTGTGCCACAGAGTTGTTGCTATAAAAAGGCTGAAGGGAAACCAACCAACATGTGGAACAGACGCACTCTTGCTAAGTTCCTGCAGGTAAGAAAATAAAACTTCCTAAACAAGAAGACGTTTGTGGGTTGCTCATAGAACATGCACCAAAATATTTAAAGGTGAAGGAAAAAAAGACACATTTTAAATGTGTTTTAAAATTTTGGTTTTTTTTTTTGCAGCTGTGAAAACTGAAATCTGATTTCTGCAGTCATGGCCAAACTGGTGAACTATAATTAGAAGTTTTTCATGTCAAAATAATAATAATAAAAATTTTACACATTTTTATTTAGAAGTTTTACTTTTTAAACTTTATTTCTTTATTTATTTTAGATGGTTCTCACTGTTGTTGCAGTTTTGCTGCTTGGTGAGTTCATCATCATACGTTTTCAGTTTTGATATTTCTTCAATAATTTTGCTTTATCTAAAACCACTAACTGTTTTTTTTCTAACTTTTTTTTCCAGCCGATGTGAAACTAAGTAGAGGTAAGATATTTTCACTTCTACAACTAAATAAATCATTAAAATGTGTATTTACAATTAGTTTAACGTCAAAATGTGTTTGTTTTTTTTCTCAAATACATTCAGGATTTCGGCCTCCTCTGTGCTGGACCGACTGGTACAATCGCGACAATGCAAATGGAAAAGGTGACTATGAGGATCTGAAGCACCTCAGAAAGGAACACCCTGGAGAAATTTGTCCCTACATTTTGGAAATCGAGGCGGTTACTGTGTTTGGAAACATTAGAGCTGAAGACACAGGGCACACCTTCCAGGCGTGAGACACCTTAATTATTCTACAGATTCATTAAAGAACTGTTCTTGGACAGTTTTCCCTCTATTTAACCAGTAAAAGTAGAAATTATTATGAACTGTTTTAAAAGATTCAGTAAATCATAATTAAACTTGCTTCCAGTTATATTGACAGCATGACACTTTAAAACTCCAGGCTGTTCTAACTCAGTTTCCTGTTCTCGTTCAGCTACAATACTGAAGTTGGCTTCATTTGCCGCAACGAGGATCAGCAATTTGGGCGATGCATGGACTACAAGGTTCGCTTCGGATGTCCATGCTTTCTTCCACATTAAATGCATCCATTACATCCATTAACCTGAGAGAAAATAAAAACCTTTAGTTCATTTTGCTTCACTCATTCTTATTTCTGTCTTTGACAGTTTCCTGTCATTTGTCAATGGGGGCCCGTGCTCACGGGAAGTAATTTTTTATTTTTATTTTCAGTTTTGGGGGGAAAAATTCTAAATAACTAAGTAAAACCAATCAATAAAGTTGTTGTTTTTATCCTTTGCAACATGTTAATGTCACGCTTTTATTAATGTACTATTTCAGATTTTGCAGATTAGCCACAATGTCTGAACAATGTTTAAAAGAGAAACATTTCAACAAAGTTAATAAAATTCACACGTGCACACACGCACACACACACGCACACACACATTCACCTCCCTCGTGACTCTCCCAGAAATCGTTAATTAAATCCAACTTTATTTAGAGCAGCAGTAGCTCAGGAGGTAAAGCAGGTTGTCCAGTGTAACGGTATGAAATTACTGTTTTCACCAAAAGTCAGTTTCCCCCTCTCCTCTTACACAGAATTAGTCTGCATGAGATATGGCCTCAAGGTCTCATGCATTTGCTTATAAACTGCTTCTTTCCAGCTCAAAGAGAAGAATGAAGAATGGACTCTCTCCTTTTAATAAATCAAGAACTCTATTTTGATAAGCTAATCCAACAAAGTGTTAGTCAATAAATAAGATGTGACCAATCTGTGAAATCAAAATATTAATTACATTATTATAATCCTGTAGAATATAAAAGTAATACGACTTTAAATGTTCCACTAGGACTGATCTCACGTAGCATTAAAAGACATGACACATTGCTTTCACTGATCCCATCAGAATCTGCCAGATCTGACGGAGGTGTGGTGTTTGGTAAATCTGTCAACTTTTCATTCGACCATAAACCAAAACATCCTAAGTATAAAACTATGCCCACGCCATCTTTAATGCCAGTTCAAAGCGTTCTAGAGAAGTTGTCGGAGTGGCCAATCCGTAACTTTCCTCTTCAGCCAAAAGAACCAACGAAAAGCTGGATAAAATCTGTTGCTGTTCCAACTGCTGCAATGGTTCCTTTCAGAATAAAAGCTGAACCATCACGACCCAGGTTTGGGTCTCACTAGATGCCAACAAAACTGTCGTGACCCGGGAGTTTCTCAAGAAGGGTGGACCCGCATTGAGGGAGCATGCGCTGACGGACGATCACCGGATACACGGTAGCATTTGAAGCTGATGGCAGCTCGTTAGCAAACATCCACAAACAATTAAGACATATTTTTGCCTAATTTATCTACTGACAACGCAAAGAAATAATCTGGTAAGTATAACTCACTCAACCTGGAGGTAAGTGGAGAAAATTTAGAAAGTTTACAAAACTATATTGACGGAGTTTTTGAGTTTTTCTTCATGGGTCGGAAGAAATCAGCAGCTGAGCCTGAAACACCTGGGACCAAGAGAAGCCGTCCTCAGGACTCGCCTGAGGCCTCATCTCTCCGTAGCCTCATCTCCCCGTAAGGACATATTAGAATTATTAGATTCTATAGATAAACAGCTTCTGGGATTTGAGGGGCGTCTTCATCTGCTTGAGGTTCTACACCTGGAGTTTCAGAACCTCCGAACATCTTTGGAGTTCAGCCAAGAGCAGCTTGAGCGGCTCCCTGCTGAGAACGTGTCGCTGTGGAAGTCCATTTCTTCCCTGGAAGAGGGAATGACGTGGATCACCCAGGACAACAAGATTCTGAAGGAGACGGTTTTGGACCTCCAGGCCCGTAGCATGAGGGATAATCTGGTGTTCGCAGGCCTGCCGGAGCAGGCGGGAGGAGTGGAGGACTGCGAGCAAACAATAAAAAACTTTCTCCAGACCCAAATGAAGATACCCGAAGAAATGGTAAAAAGCATCACCTTTCACCGGGTACATCGCCTTGGAGCTAGACGAGTGGACAGCAGAAGATCTCGTCCCATCGTGGCTAAATTTGAACATTTTAAGCAGAAGGATCTTGTTAAAAGTCACGGAAGAGAGCTCAAAGGGAAAGACGCCGAGTCCTCTTTCCGCTGCGCGAAAAGTTTATCCAGGATGGGAAGAAAACTGTCATCTTGGTGGATAAGCTTTATGTGGACAATAAATTTTACAAGGAGCGAGGAGTGACTGACTGGCTGTATTAGCCCAACATCAGGTCAGATATTTATTATTCTTATCATGATTCACTGGTTTTGATCACGTCAGGATTAAACAGCTGCTAAATCCGTCTTCTAGATGATGAGATCACCTGTTCATCACCACCTCACACCCCTATCACCTTTTTTTTAGTTCTTTCTTCTTTTTTAACCTGTATCTGTATTTTCCTTTCCTCTTTACCTGCTTCTGTACCTTTACACCTGTATGGCACAACCACACAACTTTCCAACACTGCGTCAGACTCCACACACACACACACACACACACACACACACACACAAATATATATATTAAATCCACAGCACAATATCATAATTTATGCGTCAAATAATACAACCACAAACACTGTTGGATCTTTATTATTATTATTATTTACTTTTCTGTTATTTATTAACATACTATTTTATACATCTAGTTACTTATTCCATCTTATTCACATGAAGGTGTCATATTCGAGCTACTCACACACACATCTATGGGTGCACTAAGGTTTGTTTCATGGAACGTACATGGAGCTGGCTCCATAGAGAAAAGAATAAAGATTTTTTATCAGCTAAAGAGAGTGCAAGCAGACGTAATATTATTACAAGAGACTCATAGATCTGCCACATCCGCAGATGAACTTAAAACACCTGAGTTTCCCAGCATGTTCTCTGCCTGCTATAACTCTAGGCAAAGAGGTGTAGCTATTTTAATACACAAAAAACATCAATTTCACAGTATTGGATACAGTCTCTGATGCAGAGGGTAGATTTATAATGTTAAAAATATCTGTACATAACCAGAGCTTATGTATTGTCAGCATATACTGTCCAAATATTGATGACCCTTCATTCTTTCATAATTTTTCTCTGTACTCTCCGAACACTTGGACTGTCCACTTATACTTGGAGGCGATTTTAATTTTTGGATGAACTCTTTAACAGACAGGCTCAGTACAGCTGGGACTCAGCGCAATTGGCAATCCACTAATATAGTTAAACAGTACACGAGTGATTATAGGCTTTGTGATGCATGGCGATCTCTTCATCCTAACCGTAGAGAGTATACTTTTTTCTCACACGTCCATCTCTCTCATTCATGTTGGGATTATTTTCTAGTCAGCAGCTCATTGTTGACTGACATTTCAGACACTGAGATACACCCCATAGCTGTCAGCGACCATGCTCCGGTTTCATTAACTCTGATAAATAAGAAGACAATCCCACCAAACAAAAACTGGAGGTTTAATACATCACTGCTTAAAGATGAAGGTTTTATTGATTTTTTTAAAAAGGAGTGGGCTTTATATTTAGAACATAATGACCTGTCTGAAACATCAGCATCTATTCTCTGGGAGGCAGGAAAGGCAGTGATGAGAGGTAAAATAATCTCTTTCTCATCACATAAGAAAAAAAAACAGAAACCAAACGTATTCAGGAGTTAGAAGAAATCATCAAGTCTTTAGAGGCATCCACAGAAGAAGAGTTACTGAGCAAATTACGTAAAGCTAAATTAGATTTTCTTGGAATTATTGACAAAAAGACACAATTTTTAGCACAAAGACTACGAATAGAAAACTTTGAACATAGTAATAAATCAGGTAAATTTTTAGCTAGCCAGTTAAAAATTAATAGAGAGATAACTACCATATCTGCTGTTAAAGACTCAACCAGGAATATAGTGTATGACCCTGAAAGAATAAACAACACCTTCAGAGACTTTTACCAAACGTTGTACTCACCACAGATAAACCCATCAGATAACGAGATCAATGAGTTCCTTGACAGGATGACACTTCCTAAATTATCAGACAGCCAAGCTACAGTCCTGGACTCTCCACTAACATCAGCTGAGGTCCAGGAAGCCCTTAAATCCATGACTAATAGGAAAGCTCCAGGTCCAGAAGGGTTTCCAGCAGAGTTCTACAAAGAATTCTGGATTTTTCTGGCTCCAACATTTTTCAGAATGGTGAGGGAAATCGAAGAGAGCGGCAGATTACAGCCAAACATGAATTCAGCCAATATTAGTCTCTTGTTAGAACCAGGCAAAGACCCTGCATTTCCTACCAGCTAACGCCCAATTTCTCTTATTAATGTTGATCTCAAAATAATTTGTAAAGCCCTGGCAAAAAGATTAGAGAAGGTAACACCCTTCATAATACACCCTGACCAAACTTGTTTCATTAAGGGTAGACAGTCATCCACAAACTCGCGTAGATTACTTAATTTGATAGATTTCTCTTACAGTAGAAACATAGAAACTAGTATATTATCTCTAGATGCAGAAAAGGCTTTTGATAGAGTTAACTGGAAGTTCTTATTTGCAACTTTACATACATTTGGCTTTGGGAACTTCATAAACTGGCTACAAACATTATACAGTTCACAAACAGCACGTGTCAGGACAAACGACCAAATATCAGCTAGCTTCTGTCTTCAGAGGGGGACCAGGCAGGGATGCCCACTCTCCCCCTCACTTTTTGCTATTTTTATCGAACCACTAGCGGCAGCAATTAGGCAAGCAGCAAATATTAAAGGGATAGAGTGTAAGAATATGGAACATAAGATCAGTCTTTATGCAGATGATGTTTTACTATTTCTCCAGAATTCTCAATCCTCTCTCTCCCATTCAATAGAACTGATAAACTATTTTTCAAGAGTTTCAGATTACTCTATAAACTGGTTAAAATCCACAGTTCTACCAATTAATTTCTCTTTTGTCAATTTGCTTAATACACAATTGAAATCAGGGAAAATCGCATACTTGGGAATTCATGTCTCTCCCAAGCTGGCAGATCTAACCAAACTAAACTACATCCCACTTTTAAAGAAAGTGGAAGATGATCTTGCAAGATGGAAATCCTTTCCGATATCACTCATGGGGAATTAAAATGATGGTCTTACCCAGA